GAAACAATCTCCCAGCTCGACGCAAAGCCATGTTTTTAGGAAGGCCTTGTTATTTCAACCACTATAAACGTCACCATCCGTTAATCCACTCTAATGATGGCGGTTTCCTTTTGAAGAGTGGACATGCAGCGTTTTGATTATATATTATTTAAATAGAGAGCTTTGCAGTTTTTTAAAAATTAAAAATATTTCATTAGTTCACTGTCATACTATGCTGCGTGCAATTTGCGAATTTATTGCTGATACCTTTTCTGGTGGTTGGAAATATAAAAATAAATCTATCTTAATGTACTTAAAAATATACTGGAAACTTTACGCCATATCTTAAGGTCAGTTTCCATGATAGCACACGTTATCATATATCTATTAAGCCATATTATTTGCCCAACAAATTTCTATTTTGTAGGACGTTTGGAAGGCTCACATTAAATCTTTAAAGATGCCTTCGATTTTGAATTCAAACGACAAAATGAACTGATTATATTTTCCATAAATCAAAAGGCTTATGTACAAAAAAAGAAAAAGAGAAAAACACAACAAAATTAATTTAGTTTTTTATCTCTAACATCACTTTGACTTTTGTTTTGAAAGAAGAAAAAAAAAACGTACGATTTATATGCATGTCCTTGATTAGAGACTCTTTTGCTGGAGGCATTAAAACTGCGTTGAAGTTAAATTGAAAATCGCTACAGTCTTCTGTTTCATGTCATATTGTTGCTACTGCTGCTGCCGCCGCTACTGTTGTTAATATTTTTCCTTACATATCTAATTATAGTCGTAGTATAGAAAATGCGTAGTTCAGTCTCTGAATTACGTGTACTTAAATAAGTTTTATATGCATATGTATTTATGTATATGCTTGGGCTTGCTGTTGTGTCTATCTATCTAATCCAATACAATGATGTGCGTTTACTCATGGTATGCTTGGACGGTAAAAAATGATGTTTTTGGGATTAACATTTATCTTGTCACACATTTAAAATTTATGATATCATGCCGTTTGTAAATGTTTCCTGAAGTTGAACAATGTTGATTTATATCTAAGCATCTACATAGGCGTTTATGTGCGCACGTAGATATATATATGTGCCAATAATTATGAAAGTGGCCTAAGTCATGCAATTCTTGTTTCGAGATTTTTAATCGATTTGTATTTGAGTAAATGAAAAAATATTCTTAAATTGTACGATATTTTAATTTAGAATTTTGTTAGTCTTGATTAATGGACATTTGTTATGAATATGAAATTTTGTGTGAGTTTCGTGTAAAAATGTTATTTTTAAAGCTTGAGTTGACTTAGACCACTTTGACAATTAACTGAATTTCCTATAAATGATTTAAAGTAGTAAAAAATGATGAGCATTATTAGAAACAATAATTTTAATGAAATAGTTCATGAACATTTATAAATAATAATAATTAATAAACAGTAATCCATTTTTATCATTTTAGGCTTTTATCTTTACGAGTTTTTAAGATTCTTAAAATGTTTGTGAAAAACTATAGGGATGTATGGGAGAAAACACACAATATCTCTATGCTTTTTGTTCCGTTACTAGTATAGTGGGAGTGTATGATGCTTTGATATTTTCGTACAGTTTTGGTCTTCCTCTTTTAGGTGAAAGATTGAAAACGTGGAATTTAAAATAATCTAAAGAAGTTTTATAGAACATCTTATAATGTTCATTTTTCAACAATATCATCCATTGAATTTGCAGCCAAAAGACAGCTTTGCCCGCGGCATTTTTTATTTTTCTTGTCACCGACTCTTCTAGCGATTTCGTCGAACTAAAGTCCGACTGTGACATTCGTTTTACCGAAAATGTATTTCTTCTTCTACAATTATCTGTCAACAATAATACTCAGGATTGCAGATATAATTTGTTTTTTTCATTTTCATTTCTCTCAACCCAAAATCAAGGTCATTCGGTAAAAAGCGATGACCAAATACCAAAAATTTGTGATCTATCAGTTCAATACTATTATTTGATGACTGGGCAATTTTCATCTATGTCAATGCTACTTTACTTTGCCATGTTACGGTTTTGGCCTGATTAAGCATCACTGTAAGCTATTACGTGTTTTTAAGTAGTTATATCCTCCTTATGCATTAAAATGCATGACGCTACTTACTTACTTACTTACTGTGCACCTCTTAAAGCTATAATTTCATCTCATTCATACCCAAGTGGTACATGTATATATACCTTTTTGCGAATAAAATAAGAATCCATAATATTCCTTGGGATTTTTCTTTGCTTTTTTTTGGTCTTCTGCAATATAATTCCTAACTCGTTCGGCATTTTTTCTTCCTCGCTACTGCATACTTCGATTTTGCCCTTTAGTAAATCGCATTTTTGGCACGTGTCTTTTCGAAGAGTAAAGAAATTTAAATTAAGTTCAGTATTAAATACTGTCCTATAGATCCACTCCTTAACAAATGATTGATCATTTTCCTCATATTTTTTACATGTAGATAGTATATTTTCGACCAGGAGTGTAACGAGCTCTAGTGTATTTGAATTGGACCACTTTTTATAATGAAAGCTAAATAAATTCCATATACAGTTGAAATTACAGCCGCTATTTAATGATTCATTTTTAACGATCTTGTAAAAACTACATTGAATTAAGTTACTTTAACATAATGTGATGTGAGATAACTGATAAACTTATTTTCTTTTAAATTTTGACTTAGACCATTTTTATAATTACCTGCACAAATATATATATATATTAGTTTGGGGAAAAAGAAATCCATTATTTTTTCGGTAGATGGCTGCACTGATAGATTTCTCGTAAAGTATCGATCAAACAATTTCAGATTTATGCTCGTTGGAAAGGTGACATTTCGCAGTAAAAAAAATTCTTTTGCTGTTTTTTGTTTGGTGCATTCAGTTGTGAGTTACAGCGTGTTAAAAATGGAAGTGAACAAAGAGAAAGTTCGGTACATTTTACAGTCTTTCTTTGACGAAGGCGAAAATGCAAGCCAGGCGGCTAAAATTGTGAATGGTGTTTATGGTTCCGATACTGTAACAGCCAATTATGTGCAATTTTGGTTTCGTAGATTCCGTTCAGGAATTTTTGATGTTAAAGATACACCTCGCGCAGGTAGGCCGGTCGTCGAAAATGTCGATAAAATCGGAGAAATGATCGATGTTGACCGGCATGTTAGCAGTCGTAACATCGCCCAGGAGCTAAAAATCAGTTTTAAACCATTTACTCAAAGCTGGATTCAAAAAGAAATGTCGAATTGACGAGCCTTTCATTAAAATTTTGTTCAATGCCTTCAAGTTATTAGAAAAAAACTCGGCTTTTGTTTTTGGATTACTGAATAAAAATTTTGATCAGTGTCGGTATGGTTGCACATAACTTAATCGCTTGCCTAACAAAAGAGGACACTATGTAGGGTATGCAAGGTTTTCGTAAACGTTGAGCTTCACCGCGATATATCACACAGAATGAGTATTCGCAAAGAATTTTTGCAGTTTTAGTCTATAGGCGAGGTAGAGGTTACAATAATGCAGAAATAAAACAGGCTGGCCTGATAAACATACAAAGCATAAAAACATATGCAGTAGAATTATTAAATCCAATGATCCCTTTGGAATTGTTTTAACGATGCCATTCGAATGGGGAATTTCAGATTATAAGCTATTATAAATTTTATTTTTGTTTGAGAGCGCACTGCTGTAAGGAATCATGTCTACTTTAGAAACTGATTTCTATTATTTTCAATAATTTTAAGTAATTTTTTATCTTTCTCTTATAATTTTGTCAAGACGAATATAATACGTGTACGGTGTAACGGTGGACGGACAGTAGCACTCGCAAGTTAATCGAAAACACGTATGCTTAATATATTTACGATATCCATAAACTATACGTTGAAATTTTTAATGTTGTATTTTTTGTGGTTTGGAAGTAATAAAATAAAATTTGAAAAAATAAATAACAATTTTTTACTTTTTTTTTTAGTTTTAAAAACGGCGGCGTTCTGAGTTTATGTTCTAATGCGGAGTCATCATTTGGTGACGGCTGCCAAGACAAACAACCTTTATTCTGTATAATAAAACCGATAGCATTGCTTTCTTGGCAAGCGCATCATATTCTAAACCTATGAAGAAGTTATACAATTCTGTCAAAAGTATCGTGAAAAGGGAGGAAACCTTACACAAAACGAGAGAGTTCAAAAAATCAAGTTAAGAATCTCGTTAAAAAAGCATCGCTATTTGCTAACAATGATAAATTATGTATTACTTTTTTGATGTAAGTTTCTGCACCGGGTCTCTTAATCACGTATCCTCTTATAAAACTGCATAAAAAGCCAGATGGAAAAAATATCTTTTTATCAAAAGGAAGCTTCAGAGGTCCTATAAAATATATGTACGATTGATCAACGTGAAATTCGGAATTGATTTAGCCTTGTTTGCCCGTCTGCGTGTCTGTGTGGTCTTTGCTATTGGCAATCTCCTGGTCGTAAAAATGCATATATCGACTTCAAATTTGGTAGAACATTGGAAGTTTCACTTTTTTGAGGTTTCATGCTTTTTTATTATAAGGCAAGGAAGACAGATCTATGAAGACTATTCTGCACACTCCTACCACACCTAGTACCAGCGATATAGGTCTCAAATAAAATAACTTGCAGAATAGAGTGCGAAAAGCAAAGTGGTGGGTATGCGAACATAACTTTCTTGCGTGTTATGAATAACTTTCCGAAAAAGAACAAGTGTTATAAACGTGTGATCTTAAGCTTATCATTATTTATTATAACCAAATGGAGTGATAATAATCCAGTATTTCTTTTATAATTCCGCAGATCGAACATGACCTTAACCTTTATCTCTTAACTACTTCAAAATATTTCGTCTTTGAATTTTACTCGATTAGATATCGTTTCTTTTTCTTATAGTATAGATGGAATACTACAACTACAACGAAACGAATTTCACTTATTTACAAGATTTATCGTATTTGGATTTTTTTTAACCACTTACATTCGCCAAAATAGTTAAATGATACATGGCTTGTTTTTCAAAATCTAATGGTCCCAGTAGGAAAAGAGTTCCCTCTGTAGTTTCTGTAGAGACAATTTTTTGTCTTATGGCAAATAGGGGTGAACCCTAAAACGGAAAAATTGAAAAAGAAGAAAAGAAAAACGGTTAAAAGAAAAGTCAGAACATAAGCAAGATATATAGAAATGTTTTCAAGAATGGAGTTTTTTTAAAGCATTACTCACCCATAGTTCGAGGTAGACTGGTTTCGGAAAGAGCGGATTTTTTCTCGCAATTACGTAATCGAGCTCCGTGCCACGTTTAGCGTCCTGTAAATATGAAATCAAATCATAAATAAATTTTATAAGACCACGACATTCGTCATCTGCCGATGTTTTATAATAATGCATAAGGGAGTATGTGCAAATATGTGAATGTACGCTGACCAAATAAGGGGGACTACGACCTCTTATTTATTAAGTTATGGTGTAATCAATTTGAAATCAAATTGTGCTGCTAAGATACGAAATTTCAAGTTATTGGCTTCTATATGTTTCATATGCCGGTCTTTTATAAAATGCAGTCATATATATTGGCGGCAGTAACACACTTTTGCTTGTGAATTCCTTTCATCATAAAATAAATATTTTAAACACAAGACATTTTTTATAACTATGGAATGTTTCGTGGATGTATTGTATCGGACGTATGTGCACATGTAGGGGTGCGCATGTGTGCCTCGTTTTGTGTGTTTATATGTGTGGGTTTTAGTGCTTGAGATTCATCATAATTAAGGATAATTATATATGTTGTTGAGCCGATAGCCTGTGTTGCTAGTGCTCAATGTCTTTTTTTAGTCTAAGAATTCATTTCATTAGTCTAAAATTAAAATAATAATAATAATAATAATATATATGTTGTTATTGAAGTGATTTCTACTTTACTGTTTTTGTTGTTGTTGCATTTTATTGTTCGCATGGTTTCTCCTAAACGACGTTGATAACAAGACAGAGTTACATAGCCACAAAGACAATCCATCATTTCAATTACATCAAATGTAGTTTTACTCGATGTCACAGATTAGTGTTGATTATACAAATAATATAAAAAATTGGTCAGATACGAGAATAAGCGTATTATATTCTCAATAATTCGAAAAATGTGAGAATAAGCGTCTGAATTTGTTTACATTTGTTGAATAGAGAAAGATAATGTTAAAAATAACAAAAAAATTTGAGCACGAAATTATCGGCTATTTCCTCGAAATTATTGACAAAAGACGAAAAGGCTCAAAATTGAAAGCAAACGAGCTACGGCCAACTCGTAAGAACACAGTCTAAAGAAAGCTGCCTTGAAAGTGATCTTGTTCGAAAATTCGAATTTAATTACACCGTTTCTTAACTATACGTTCAGTTTCTTTTAAAAGAAAAAAAAAAAAAATGTTAAAACAATAACTAACCAGGCCAAGCCGACAACGAAGGATAGTTTTGACGCTACTGTACCCACGTTTCCTATGCCTCAGTTAGAAGATAAAGATTTGGAAAATGCAATTTTAACTTTAATTGAATTTTTGGCTTTGGCCTGTCAAAAGAAGTTGTTAAACTATGTGATACGAAAAGTAGCTCGAAATCGTTGCTATCCATCATCGATAGCACTCTTCTTAAGTGTTATTTGCAAACTAATGATTCATTGATTGCTCCTCTCTTGCGTTTAAATCAATGTCATTTGCAAGAATCCGAGAAAACTTTAAAGAAACATGACTAAATGTCCGAATTAATTATATTGTATCAAACAAACGGTAAACATCGCAAGGCATTGGAGTTGTTGCAAGCTCAAGCGATTAAAGAGGGTTCCAGCTTATACGGCCATGAACGTACGATACGCTATTTGCAACAATTAGGCTCCTCCCATTTGCAATTAATTTTAGAATTTTCCGATTGGGTTTTGAAGGCCGGTCCCGAGCAAGGCCTACGTACATATACTGAAGATTTTATTGAAGTGGAAAATCTACCGAGAGTAAGTGTTCTGGATTTTCTACTAACACGTCATAAACTATTGGTTATACCGTATCTGGAGCATGTGATTAATGTTTGGCACGATAATAATACATAACTTTTTATCAATTTTTACAAAACGTTCTAACCAAGCAATATCTTGAAAAATTGCAACAATTAATGAAGGAATTAGAGAAAGTAGAAGAAGAATGTGAGAATAAATGGCGCGAGTCATCATTTGGAGATGAAAAGGACTTTATTGACCGCGGAAATATGACGTGTCGAAGTATTGATACGTGATCAGCAGATCGAAATCGATGAATTCAGTGTATGTCCCGAGTGTAGAAAGCGTTTCACTAATTAAAGCGTTTTTGTACGCTATCCAAATGGTGATGTGGTTCGTTTGTCTTGCCATGATAAGCGAGTAATGGCGTCCAATTTATTTGGTAATTAATAATGGAAGGTTTGCGTTTTTCAAATATTTTTTTGAAATAAAATAATTTGAAAAATTAATCTAAAAAAAGGCGAAACTAATTCAGAGACATTTTTTTTGCTTGAAGGTGAGCAGGATAAGAAGATGCCCGCCTTTGACAAAGCGGTAGATTATGTTTTGTATGCAAATCGTAGGGAATTTTTAAATAAACTCCCGCTTTGGGACCCTTTCGATAAAAGATGTTATCATCTTACGCTTAATGGGCGTGTTATTTCGCTTTCAAATCGCTATCAATACTTAAGAATAAAGCATATACATGGATTGGATTGAAACACTTCGGGCCATTGTAATCAATGTTCTTAATTCCCGATTCGGCAGAACACTTTTTTAATTATGTTTAGCATTTCATGGATATTTCGTTGATATGTATACATATTGTGAAGAGGGTTAATTTTTCCTACTTGGAAAAATTGCTCTCTTCTCTTTCGCCGGGATAAACCTCAGCGGCCACACCGGGCGTAAATTACCTTTGAATACGATACTCCCCGCAAGAACGTTTAAACACTATAATGTAATTATTAACAAATTGGGCGAAGCGTATTGTGACCTACAAAGTCTATTGCGTGTAACAGTCTTCGGATTTTTATGAATCCCGCCACTTTCTTTGGGTCGGAACACCATCAAATTGTGTTTGATTCTGCAAATGGCCTCACACTCACAAAGAATGTGATGGGACGTTTCGCTCGTGTCTTGGTAGAATCTGCAGGAATCGGTATCAAACATACTCATGTTTTTCAGAGGGAATTATGATCCGTGTAGAAGCCGGCGATTAAATGCCAGTCCCTAGTTCCAGTAGTTTATGCATGAAAGATCATGGCCCCTCGAGCTTTCCTCTCCTATAATTGAATTTGATAAACATTCTCTTCGAATCTGCAAAATTATTTCAACTTTGTATTAATTTTGACCTAGCGTCCCTATGAGTCAGTTCGGACGAAAGCGAAAGTAGACAATTTGTTGAGGCATTTTCAAGTTGAGTGTCTTGCATAAACTGTTAGAGACTCATTGTGACTCAGCTTTTGGCCTTTGCCGTCAAATCGTGTATTTCTCCATTCCAACATGGCTTTCGAAAAGGAAGACCTACGGTCATCAATCTGTTAGAGTTTAATTGTCATGTTTTCAAGGCTTTTTCTAGTGGCTCTCGCACTGACGGCTTATACACTGATTTTAGCAAAATGTTCATCATAAACTACTTATCTTTAAACTCCAAGCCTCTGGCTTCCCTTTCTATTTAGTGAAATGGATAAGCTCTTATCTGCATACAGGGTTTTGTTCAACTTCATCACCTCGTATGAATTCCCCATGACATCTGGCGTTTCTCAAGGCAGCCATATAATAAATATAAATTAAATATAACATTACATAATATCAAATATACGCAATCAATTTATTTAAGTAAATGTCTTATAACATACACGATTACATATCCATAAATATGTACTGTAAATGACGATATATCGCAGTAATAACAATACCTAGCTTCTTCTTCTTGCCAATGTTGTGTTGAGAAATATTGGATGTTTTTTCTGCAACGTTTCGTACGGAAATGAATTAAAGCGAGGCGATAAAAGAGAAAACCGAACGCATTTGTATGGGTTGCTTTCATAAGTTTGCTGTACTGTTTTGTCTTTTTTTTCGTGATACAACAAATTTCGTAGAAAATACTCCAGAAATTTAAACATAATATCTTAAAAAATTTGCCTTAGACGGCAAATTTCCGTTTTGGGCGTATAAGCTCGGCAATAAACAAGGGTCGAAAATACATGAAAATTGCTTCGATCGTTATAAGAAAATTCTCCACGTCGTGGTTTCTAAAAAATCATTATCAACTTTCCTTAAAAGGGAAAACCTAGATTTGTTCCTATAAGCCCACAAACTTACGACCGACGAAGGTAAACTCGGTGGAAACGGTTTGTGGGAATCAGCCTCATTGTTTCAAATACTACCTACGACGTCGTTCTTTTACATGTTAAGATCACAATTACGATCATGAAACTTTAACTAGAAGCATACAATCGAAATTAAGTTCGCGGCTTAGAAAAAAATTCGTCCAAACGAAACAATAAAGAAATCATAATATTTCTTTTTTCTTATATCAGACACCTGTTAATGGTTCTCGGCATCGAGTACATTCGATAGTTGCGAATCATGGAACTATTGTAACGAGTAAAGAGTTTACGGAATGAAAAATCTTCCTGCTGTGAAACTGCTGTCGAGTGACATATTCAAATTACGATTGTTTTACCCCGTATCGAGAAGATTGAACCATCCCCTGAGTTAGGATTCACAAATAATTAACGGAAAGACATTTTTAAATAAAGCACAGTAGGAAAATGCGGTTATAAGCTTACAAAATTCTACTAAGGTGTATGAAATTATGATGCAAAATATTAAATGTATTTATTGCTTAAGATGTACAATACGGCGACAGGGGACCGATATATCGAACGAATCATTCTATATACCTTGCCATCAATTATTCGATGCAAACTGGTGTCAGTTGTTCATAAATTCAACCTAAGCCGATTAAAGAGCTTGTTTTTTTGGTCAAAAAACCTTTCATCATTCTTAATTTAGCAATGCTTCTGAATATACCTGATTTCTTATATACTCGTATAATTTGCTGAGATTACTGTTTTCAAAAATATAGCACGTTAAGAACACTTTCATGCAGTTTTCACTTATAAAAGCTGAAGGGTCTTTCGTGTAACACTAATTTAATTCTTTTGAATAATAGATTTGTATTCGAGGTGACTATTTAGCTTTTAAATGCAAAAGAACCTTGGAATAAGAGTCATTCAACACGAAGTCAAAGGCAGATGTTATTGGGCTTCCAAAAAAAAAAAAAAACAAGCAGTTTATGATTATTGGAGGTGAAGTAATTTAATGATATTGCCATCATACACTAATGTATTATACCATAACGACATGAAAAGATTAATTTATTCCTTGGCTAAGTAATAAATCAGTTCTAGCTTTTAACTTTTGTTCCTTTGTTCTCAAAGTCTACAATAAATGTTAAAAATGTTAAAGAGGCGAAATTCTTTAGATTAGCAAATGCGAAAGCATCATATATTCGAAATTTGATTATACATATATACCTGTTCGGGCAACTGACACACACATTTAACATAAATGAGATTTTCGCCAACGTACAGACATTTTTTAACATCGTACCTTTCTGTCTTATATGAGTCGTAGAAAAATCTTCGATTGTAATTTTGTAAATTTAATTGATTCAGTTCAAATCACTGTACTATTAATTATATTGTCAGAGCATGACCATTATGATTGTTCACATGTCTGCACATAAATGTACGTACATATGTTATAACTTTTTTCCCATATAATCAATTATATATATATAGATTATGGCTTTTCCAAATACTTATTTGATTCTTTTGCGTTATTCGCCCGTTCAGTCATTCTGCAGACGCTAACGCGTCGTAAACTAGTCATTAATCACAGGCATGGCTGGAGGTGAAAATACTTGGAATTAAATTTAGAGAGAAAAAAAGTTAGGTTCTAATTTTTTTTCTTTAAAGTTTAAAAAAAATAATTGGCCTTTAAAGGTCTTTTTGCGATTGATGAATGTAAGCCTTGGTTTTAAATTTAACTCAATACTGTATCACAAATTTGTGAATACACTAGTGAAACGTATGCCCCTGAAGAGTAACGTAGACGTGTATATGCCCAGCAGACGATTTTTACGAATTTTTTTTTTTTCTTTTAATTTCTAGTTGTGGCTCAACTTGGCAAACTTTGTTTTGAACATAACTTAACACGCACAAAGACGCTCATGTATGCTTTGAAATTTTAGGTTTTTTGCATTAATAAACCGTTAAAGAATTTAATTAATATGCGACGATTACTGCAATTGTCTTTTGTTCTTCTTTTTACTTTTTTTTTTTTAATAAGTGTTTGATGGCATATTAATTTGTCTATAAAGAGTGTAACGTATTGAAACAAGGCATCACAGATGCCATAAGGTATCAACGATGACAGCGATGTACTTAGATGTGAATTAAAAACTGGTACAGAGGGAATTGTATCGTCTTTCAAAATTAAACAAAAAAAAAAAGAAAAATGGAAATGAGACCAAGTTCAAAATTTCGACTGTCATCTAAGGGTCCTAATATTGACAGCCTTTTGTTTATGTCAATGACACTTGTACAATTTAACATTTAAAAAATCTGTCTTCTTCTTGACATAGGTCTAGCAGATTATCACTTTAAACAGGAATTAAACATGTTTAAACACTCAAAATTTTCAACAGCGCTCGTCCTTGCGTCGAAACATGTCGGTGAACTAAATTTAAGCATAATGCCAAAAAGATCTTTACTTTGAATAGAAGAAAACCAGATGGACAGACGAACGAAAAAGCTTAAATCGATCCAGAAAGTGATCGGATCAATTGATCGGTTTAATAGAAATAGGTTCTTTCACTAATCCATCTGGGTATAATATACATTTACACAAACTTAGTATACTTTATATCATGAATGATGTACGGTATAAAAAATAAAATTAAGACTTCGATTTTTATATGAAAATTTGGATAAACTTAATAAAAAATTTCAATAAATTGTTGCTAACACGGTGGGTGCCTAAAAATCCATTATAAATATAATATTCAACCAGCACAATACTGCCTTGCTTTCTCTTCGCGTTTATATCATATCTAAACGGCAAAGAGACGATAACTGCAATGATTTATAATAAACTATTCATTTTATTTATTTGCGCAATTGATAAAAATCAATTTTTGCGAATTGTTGTTACAATGCATTTACCTGAGTAATTGAATGCGTTGTAGACCTTTTCTATCGTGAAATTCGGTTTGCAACAGAAATGAAAATGGCAAGCTATTAACCTTTTGCTACTTTAAGCTGTTGCTTCTCTTACTTATTCGTTCGTCTTTATCAAGGTAAAAAAAAAAAGAGTTACAGTTGTTTTCTTTTATTGTATGTAATAGGGTGTGTGTCTGTATATATGCAAGAGTTTAACGAGTATATAAACATCGTTTTATGAAAGTGTCTACTACGTCAAGATCGTATAGATTTGTAATATGAATATAATTGCAATTGCATGGTAGTGCGTGCCATAAGACGGTACACATTTGTTTATTTTTATAGTTAATGGCTTACTCACCTCTGGTATCATAATGATGCCTGGCTTGTGCGGAAAGATGAGGTCGTGCGGTGTTGTAAAATTAGTTGCTGTTATCGAACATAATTGGGTGGCCATACCTCCTTTTGTATCCTTAACCGATACTTGAAAATCATAATAGCGACCCGGCTCTAAACGACGTTGCAATATAACGTTCGCTTGGCAGACTGAATTGTATTTGGTACATGGAAGAGACTCAATATTAATCGTAGACGATGAAGTATCGCCTACTAGCTCAAAGGTTAACGGATAGTCAAATTCTTCGTCAGTGGCACGCAGTCGATAAATGACTGAACCGACCTGAGCATCGGAGGGCACTAAAACGAGACGCATACGCGTCGACGGATCGAATTTGGGATCTACGCACAGCACTGGCGACGTACTTAGAATGTCAATTAGTAGTGTGATTGTCAATATTCGATATGCCGTTGTCCAACTCAGCAATGGAATGGTGGAAAAGTGTCGTGTAACGTGTTGTGACGCACAGCATACTGATGATGATAATGACGACGATGATGTTGGTGATGGCAAGTAACTCCAACTGCTAATACAATAGCAACGAATGTTGCTATTGTCGCTTTTATTGATGCAGGCGGTGGACGTATCGAAAATGTTGTTGTTGTTGGTTTTGTTGTTGTTACTGAACGGCGAGATGGAATAGGAGGTATTGGTGGTGCAGTAGGAAGAGTTGGCATTTACAAAGGTGTGTAATTGGTTATTATTATTTTTGTTGTTGTTGTTGTTGTTGTTATTGTGATATCCTCGTTTTCTTCTTTTATTGCTTTTTCTTTTGTAGGTACTGTTGTTATTGTTGCGGTTGCTGGAAGCCATTTCTGCAAGTAGCGAAAAAAAAAACAAACACGCATTAAAAACGTGTATTAAGTGTATAATGTAAAGGTTTTAGAGCATATACCTCTTCTTTTTATTTATTTATTTTTTTTTCTTTTAAAGAATTTTAACAAATATTGCCTTTTTGTGGGTCTGTCTGGCTAAGTTGTAGTCTGTTTGACAATCTGTCAATCCGTCATTAATGCACGTTTGTCATTCATTCTGTTTGTTTCTGTATTCTATTTTATTGTATTTACCCGACCGACCCTACCCATTCCCAGAATTTCTTCATTCTATGTGTGGACTAATGTTTAAAATGTAAACGACTCATAAAGAATTTTTCTTATTATTCTCGTACATTTTCTGGTGTTTCTTTGAGATTCCTTTTTTTTTTTACTTTTTCTCTTTTTGCGGAAACAAAAACCTAAGTATGCTCATTCGTACGCTACTCTTACATTAAAAAATTGCAAACAAGAATCAACAGCAAATTAAAATATATATATATATATATATATATATATATATATGTATATGAAATGAAAAATTGACACAACATCCGTGTGTCATCGTATCCGGCGACAACATTGCACTGATGTTTTATGTTGTCAACATTGCATACATCAGTTATAATAAACAAAAATTTTGGAAAACTTTTTTAATTTGAACTTTTTTGAAACCTTTCACCTCAATGCCATTGTTATGTAGTTGAGGTCACAGGAACCTATTAATATATTAAAGTATTTCAGTAATATGTGAAGTTTTTCTTTTTGAAATATCTATCACACAGCTTTACAAAAGCATACGCTAGGATATAGCATTCTTCCAATTTGGTTAAGTTTTTTGCATTAATCCATGTGTGACATGGATTCCTAATCTGAGGAAGAATGCGACTTTTTATTACTATCTAAAGCGAGCAGTGTTTGAACTGATCCCGAATACATATATATATGTACATACATATATACATATATACTTATATACTTATATACATATTGGGTGTGTAACTTTGCTTCCACTGTTTTTCTACGACATTTACTGTTCGAACTGAATGGGACTAGTCTTCTTATCTTTTAGAAATAAAACGAATTCCACGCGAAAGAACGACTAGATGAAACAAAACAACTGCGAATTTTTCTTGAGCGATTTCCGCTACGTGCGGCTGCACTTTTTCACACTGAAAACTCACGGCATAATGGCAAGTGGATGCTAATGATTTACCCACTCTTATCAGTTTCATGCGCCAAAGGTTGCAATTTTCAACTTGCCTTTTCTCCACTTATCTTATATATTCCTACATTTTGGGTCGTCATTCCTTTCATGTTAAGTTTTGTTCGCTCTTATTAGACTAGAATTCATTGTTCTTACTTAGCCAAATAGTAAATTATTTTCTTTTCTCCAGAGAATATAGATAACAAACTTCAAAATTACAAGAACAATTGTCAACGTATTGTATAACGTCTTTGAGAGCAGAGGTCTTCTGTCTGCCAAATCTTCTTCCATCGCTGGCCGCTGTCATTAAGTTTTACTTAACCTGTTTCCGTTTTTTTGAATATATGGAACTTTGTGAAAGTCGGAAATTTTGTTTATCTTATCATTAATTTTATATTTAACGTAATTTAATAAATTTTTCTCTCTTAATTTCAAGTTTTTTTATAACTTACTCACTAATTGCTACACCAATTGTAATAATAACTTAATTGTTATCGAAAAAAAATCTCAAACACGAATCCCTTCCCATCGCGCCAATAATTTCGAATAATAAGTCACTAATTTTATTCATAGAAATATAATTTTCAGCTTTAATGAATTTATGTATCGATGAGATGATAAATGCGTACATTAATATGCACGCCTATTATACAGTTAACGGAGTTTTACAAACGAAAATATATATTTGTTTGCATACATATTGAATACGAGTGTTGGCATTAATTAGGTTTGAATTTCTTGAAACGTTGTTGTGATTGTTAATCCGAGTAAATTTCTGTTTCTGGCATTCTTCGATAGTACAAATTTTTATACTTAATGTAAGATAGAGACACCTACACACACAGCAAGAGATCAATCATAGAGCGAGTAAACAGCTTTACGTTGAATTTATTAAATAAATATTTTCAGGGTTAAACTTTTCAAGATTTAATTTCGTTTCACAAATTTTTTGTGTTTTAACTAAAAAATAAAAAGTCTTGGAAGATATGTTGATAAAAAAACTAAAGCGTATTATATAAATATAATCGGAGTACATTGAAAACCTGTCCTTCCTTGCTAATTTAATATAAGAACATATCAACACATCCACGCAAATCAGCTAATCGAAAACAGTTCAGTTGCAATCAAATCATTTAAATCTCAAATCCAAACAACTTAATAACTTTAAAGGATACCGACAATACGAGAACAGTAGCAATTGCAATTATACATTTTTTATGAGAATCATTCAACAAAAAATCGTAATTGTGAGAAAAAGTTGCTCACATTGTAATAAGATTTCAGTTACTGAATTTTTGCATACTTCTTTGCGTCAAATTTTAAGGATAGAATAATTGTAAAAATCTATTAATAACGTGTTTAGTGTCTTTACTGCCTCGCTTGCTTCTTTTCAAAGATCTTCAAAAAACTATAAAATTCAGGAGTGGATGGATATCAAAAACAAATAAATTTAAAAAAATTAAAAAAATTAAACTTTATTATTCAATGCAGCGAAATGATTTATCTGCAGGAAATTATTCAGTATTTTTGGCAAAAAGCAAAGAAGAAGCTATTGTAACAAACATTCCAAAAAATTTTTAAGGCATCATCTCTTTTTTAGATAGAGCGAGAGAGGGAGAGAAATAAATAAACAGAAATTGACCATCGCATAGAGCGGAATATGCTTAATGATTTCATCCATAGCGTCGACAAACAGTCGCAATGAAAAAAACAGATCGTAAACTTTCGAAGTTTTGAAAAGAGTTTGCGAGCTTCGATCATGCAACAAACGTTCACCTAAATAAATCCAAGATGACAGTTTACCCTTAACGCCACAATGACTTATAAATTATTTCTTAGAATTCGAAGGTTTATACTAACCAGCCTATATAGAGAGGAAAGCTGGCGTGCTGAAGCAAAAAAGAAGTAAATGACTTGTAATATCATATCATTGACCGTTTGAGTCATTTCAAAGTTTAGTTTCTTTTTTTATACTGAATATATATATATCACGGTATATAAAATTTATCACGGTGGATTTAAACTAAAAAAAAAAAAAACCAATAGAGCGTGCTTGGCCCTCTACTATTTATATATTTAATATATATATATATATATATATATATAAGAAGAAGGAGACACTAGTCAAATATGAAGCCATTGGATTCCAATCACGACCTCAGTCCATATACTCGTAACATATAAACAAACAGACAACAACGTTATAGTGGGCCACGGCCGATCATAAAATACTCTACACCATTCTATCAGGTGTTCATGTGACGAGTTTTGAAAATGAGGCATTATTTGGTCCCATTCGGTTTGGGCCCAACCATTTTCAATAGCGTTCGTCCTTGGGTCAAAGCACGTCAATGCATTAAATTTCGTCAAAATATCGCAAAAATTATGGATTGTAGATTGAACGCAACAAAACAAGGTGGATGGATGGATCAATAGACTTAAGTGTTTAAATCAATTTTAAAAGTAATTTTGAAACGATAGGTATCCTTAGTTCTTCTTGTACTATAAGTGCTGCAGGGTATAACCTAACTTAATTGTTGGGTATTCATACCCATCCCATACCATAATTTAGAAGAGGTGTAAATGGTCCCTACCTACTATGCGTGCAGCTATACTTGGAATTAAATTAATGTTTGGTTAGGGCGAATAGGTGACTCGATTTCTCTCCATCAAATTGCAACAATTATGGTACTGTTTAAATGCACAAAGCCTAGAAAAATATTATACATTATATAATAAACTAAATAAACTAAATTATATTTCTAATGATAATGCGCATCGATCTGGCTTTCTGCTTACCTGTCTCTAGTTAAAACCTCAAAATTGAGTTTAGAATATATTCAATCGGAAATGGAGTTAAATTGGTTCTTCACCTATGTTTTCAAGTATCTATGTATAATCTAATGCGCTCGATTCTTTACTATATGATATATACTCTTGAACAAAGTTAACATGTTACTTTAGCAAGTTAATTAGTTAGTTAGCATGTTACTTTGCACTAAATGTGTAAGCTGTAGCGGCTTGTATATAATGCTCTAATTGGTGTAACTACGCTTACAAAGTATATTATGTACATATACAATACAGTATAGTCCTCACGAAGTATATGTTGAAGGAGGTATAAACAAAATTCGGCTTAATCCCACCATAATAATGTCTTTTGATCTCTTTTAAAACTTAAGAGACGATGTTAAATGAGTAGCATATGATTTAAGATTTAAACAATTCATGTTTAATTAATGATACCTTTGGGAGAAGGATGACAAGTTAGTCTATATGTACACGAAAACAGAAAAGGACAGCGCAAGGTATGGATGTGGAAATGTTTTAAAACAAATATCTGTCGACGTATGTGTACGAAATCGGGAGACCTCCTTCGAATTTATTTTTTTGTTATAAGGTTTTTTTTTTTTCGTTAGGCTAAATACAATTTTTAACATAATATCACCTTACAAATCTGTATCTTGTACACACATACACGAAAACACTTTTACATTTTTTGTTAAACAATTTAATGCAGTTGAATGATTTTTATAGAAATTCGATCTCAGAGTGTCTCTCTGAACATTTGGTAATAATAAATACATGCAATAAAACAAAAAAAAAGTCAACAAAAAATAACTAAAACGAAGGCGATATTGTCAAACAATTTTGTAATATATGTACATGTGCATGCATTCGTGTATGGATGTATGTATATAAGCACTTAAGCGCACTTAGTTATATATATTTTCAATGCGTTGTTAGAGGGTTTAAGTGTCGTATGTATATGTGTGCGCGAGTATTTTTTGTAATT